TTTTAAAATTGCGTGCCAAAACACACAGCCGAAAGCATCAACATAAGTGGAACAATCGCAATATTAACATCACATAGACAAAATAGACAAACGTATCGGCAAGGATACAAAGAAGGACAGTTACATGGCAGAACAATGATGCCATTTTCATCAGAAGAAAGGAACAGAGACTGTTCATACTGAGGAGCCGACCATGATGTGATTTATAAACAGAAATATAATAGAGGGAGACGTGGAAACACCCACATGGTATTTGGAGATTTTTTAATACTCTCCTTAAGTAATTGTATGAAACTTGACCAGAAAAAGGGAGGAAGATCTAAACTGTGCTGTCAGTCAGCTCAGTTAGACAGCCACACCGACCGTGGCCGGGCACCACATTGACTTTTACTGCCTGCCTTGAGGTTTAATTTGCATCCCATGGGATTAATTCACAGCTAGTGTGTGATTCCGTGATTTTTGGTGAACCTTGGCTATAGCCGGGTTGGAGCCTTTTCACCCCACCCTACACAGCCCTGGAGCCACGGACGTGCTCTGCTCGTGTCTAGATTTTCTGGACATTTTAAATAAGTAAAAACTACTCATATTCTTTACACTTCCTTTAGCGTACTGTTTCTGAAGTTTGTCCAAGTTGTTCACTTCTTGCTGTCGAGTTCTCTTAGATGGATTTGTTGTCACGTTTTGTTTATCCATTCCCCGGTCGATGTCTGTTCACACTGTTTCCCATTTCTGGCTGTTAGGAATGTTGTCGTCAACATTTTGTGTGCATGCTTTTGTTTGTACATAAATTTCGTTTATCTTGGGTAGGTGCCTAGGAGTAGAATTGTTGAATATTGTTGTAAGTTTATATTTAACTTTTAAGAGACTGCCAAATTGTTTCCAAAATTCCTATCCTGTTTTATACTCCGACCAGTACTGCACGAACATGCCAGTTTCTCTGTGTCATCACCAGCAATTGGTATTATTGTCTGTGTTTTTATTTTATCTATTTTGATGGATGTGAAATAGTATCTCGTTGTGGTTTTGGTGTGCATTTCCCTGACAACTAACGATGCTGAGCATCTTCTAAGTGCTTATTAGCCATTTGTTTTTATTTATTTATATTAAATTTATCTTTTTTTGAGGACAAGAGTCCCTCACTTTGTTGCTCAGGCTAAGAGTGAGTGCCGTGGCCGTCAGCCCTAGCCCCAGCAACCTCAGAACTCCCTCGGGCTCAAAGCAATCCTCCTGCCTCACCTCCTGAGTAGCCTCGGGCTAATTTTTTCCATCGTATAGTTAGTTGCCAATTAAATTTCCCTTCTTCTATTTATACGGTAGACGAACGGGGTCTCCCTCTTGCCTCAGGCTGGTTTTGAACTCCTGACCTAGAGCGATCCACCCACCTCAAGCCTCCCACGAGTGTAGGATTGCAGGCGTGAGCCAGCTGCCCTGGCCCACCATTTTGTTTTATATTCATTGGGTGAAATTAGCCCGGGCATAATGGTGGGGTGCAGCCCATAGTCCAGCTACTCGGGAGGCTGAGGCCAGGAGGATCGGCCTGAGCCCAGGAGTTTGAATGGTCTGCTGTGGAGCTGTCAGCTTGACACAACCATGGCCACTCACTCTACAGCCTGGGCAACCACAGTGAGACCTCTGTCTCTAGAACAAACAAAAAAATGGATTCCGAACGGTGGTGTGACATCTCAGAGGTGTTCAAAGCTGGGTACGTGGGTGGTGGGTTTGCCGTGGGGCCCGTCGGAGAGGCGCGGGGACGGCGGGTGGGTTTGCCGTGGGGCATGGAGAGGGGCGGGGCGACGGGGGAGGACCGGGGCAGTGGGTTTGCCCCCGTGGGGCCGTGGAAGGCGCGGGCGGGGGGGGGCAGGGGCAGGCCGGTGGGTTTTGCCATGGGGGCGTTGGAAAGGGTGGGGGTGGGAGAGACTGGCGGTTGGGGTTCTGCCGTGGGGGATGGAGGGCGTGGGACGGGGAGGACGGGGCAGTGGTTTGCCCCGTGGGCCTGGAAGGGAAGGGCCGGGGGGGGCGGAGGGGGACAGGCGAG